TAAAGTGATCTCACAAAAAGCGGTTTTGGCCTTGTGAACTTGATATCTTGGGAACTCCTTGAAGGAATTCCTTCAAATTTGGCACAAATATTCACTTGCACTAAAAAAAACGGATTCGATTTTGGTAGTCAAACACTAACAGGACATTGATCATCTTACACACCAAACAACTGCAAATGCACCAAATATTGACATCATTTTGTTCCTCCTGTCTAATTAATATGCTTTTTACTATGCAAAGATAAGGAACAGGGAACAGGTTTCAGTCAGTTGAATGAGACATGAAAAAGCCTGAGCCTTAAATGACTTTTTTATTGTTAACAACCCTCAAATTTTAAGTGTGTGCACTGAGAATAATATACATCTTCCTGTTAATGAAAGTGTCATTATTACACTTCATATGAGCACAAAGGTGTGCCAACACACAGCTTAGGTGATACAGACAAATCCATTGCATGTGATATGTAGAATGATTTATATGTGGTAAAAGTAGAGGATGGGCCACCCAGAAGTTTAAGAGAGCAAGGGACTGATGCATTGCATAATTAAGAATAGGGTAAATAAGTAAACAATAGTACAAAAAAGGTGAGAGCATAACTAAAGGAGGAGAACAGGGCAAAATGAATGCTGCTTAAATCTAAAACAAAATATAGCTAAAAGAGGACTCTACATTATATGGAGTTGCAAAACTCAAAATGAAATGAAATGAACCAAAAGAGCCTGTCAACGCTCATTCTAAAAACCAAAAACACATGAAGCAGCACCCCTGTCCCTAATGCATCTTACAGTGTGTAAATCAGTATTCTTAAACCTAGCCCAGTCCCCAACAATCAATACTAGTACATCAGACAAAATCACAAAGTACACAAAAGAGGTACAGAGGCGAGCTGCCTGTCTGAGTCAGCTGCCAGGAATGACATGCTGACCACGCTTTTAAACTCTTTCCTCTTCAGAATGCCAGAATGGCTGCAACTGTGGTGTGGACTGGCAGGATCATTGCCACACCAATACGGAGAGCCGACCACGGAATTGGAGGCTCCTCCCCTCGGCTCTAACCGATCCCGTCACGGGGTCCACGTAGCCCGATTTGCATACTCTCAAAATGGTTAACAGACGGGGAGGACGAAGGCAGCCGCAACGCGATTACAGATATTGCAATTCAGATATAAGGCACGATTTCAGTTGGAAGGGTAATTTTTGCATTTCAATTTCAGTGAAAAAGTAAAAAATTATGATAATGTGATTTTTGTTGGGGCTTGTACCAAATAAACATGTTCCTTTATGTCTGGAGAGTGTCGGATATGAAGGCTGGAATCACGATGCTTCATTTATGGTGTGTTGCGACGCACTTTACTTTTATCATATCAATTGCAGCTCATGCGATTTGGATATTGCACTATTGCTATTTTGATAATGCTTTGATTAATTGTTCAGCATTAGTGCGCACATGCTGGCACATACACATATGCTGTCCACATGTAGTGTGTGTGTATTTTAACATTTTGTGTGTAAAATATGATTCTGTCAGACATGACAGCAAGGTCTCTTATCACACTGGCTCAATGAGGAGCGTTTGTGAATGGTATTGTGACAGTCTGTATTGCACTGTGTGATACCAGATGTCTTAGCCTGGGAGATTTTACAGCTTTTTCCACTGTCGCTGAGAATGTGACAAAAGCTCTTTCTCACACTTACACTTGTGTGTGTAATTGAGTGTGTGTGTGTGTGTTTGTGTGTTTGTGTTTGCATCCCACTGATACAAATGACTCTGCCAGCATCTGATGGAGATATCTGTATGGATGAAATCAAATGATAATTTAAAAAACAATATTACTCTGGTTTCCCAGAAGCTTTAAATCAAAACGACAACCACCAAAAAGTAGCATACACATGCAGCAAGACAAACATGCAAGATCAAGCAAGCGCAGCAACAAACTAAAATAAATAAAAAATAAAACAAAAACGCAAAGCAAGAAGCAAGCAAGGCAAAAAACAAAAAAAACAATTGCTTCCTAATGTTTGAAAGATAATACATAATAATTCAAATGTAAAATTTGACAAAGTTGAACAGCAGTCTGGTACATGGCAGTATCAATGAGTGATGAGCTGAGCGAGAGGAGAGGTGCTCTGTCGATGAAGCTATTGGCCCAATAATAGAACAGACATAATTGTCTGGCCTTCTGAGTCATCATTGCTCACCCCACTGCCAGTGCTCTCCCATCTTGTTTAGATTCTGCAGTTAATGGACCTTCTCCTTCTGTCCATCTCTCCATCTTTGTCTGCTTCTCTCCTCCTCCTGTCATCCCTCTGTTTTATTTTTATGGGCCACCCTTCGATCTTGCTCTCTCCATCATCCACCATTCTTTCTCCCTATCCTTTCTTTACCTCCTCCTCTGTCTGAATTTGCCTATATTTGTCACACCCCACAAATAACAGGTGTCAGGCTTGTTTTTAAGTTGGTTCAATCGCAAAGTAAATGTACTGTATCTATAAAATATGAAACCACTGTACTGTACTGCAAAACTTTTATTAAATGGGATTTACAGTATGGTCCATTAAAGTCGTTGAATATCTTCTGTGGATAAAGAAAACGCACCAGTTAATGTTGGATATGCAACTGTATGCAACTGTATTAGTTGTGTAAACAGTATGTTTATGGTAGAAAACTCATGGTGTCGCACGCCACACAAGATGATGGATTTAAAAGAAAAAATGCTTGTAAGTTACAGGCTGCTGCACAGAAGCATGACATTTGTTATCATGTAAATATCATGTTTGTGTTTGTTGACAGAAGACAGACTTGTGCTCTTCAGAGCTGTCTGCTTGCTTTGCATGTTGCATGCAAAAATAAGATCTTATCACGCTAACGACGGTTGGTGACTCAAAGAATTGGGCAAGACAGGATGAAAAACAACCCACAGTGTCATGTTGGCTACTTAATGAAAAATTAAGCAATAAAACAATGGCTTACAAGATTTCTTGTGGGCTCTGGATGGGAATGAACCTGTGTGTGCACAAAGTATCACTAGAAAAACAAAGCAAAAATAAAGTGTGTTATAAGTTCTTCTGTCTGGGAGATTATCTCCATACCTGTTGTTGCACTTCTTTACCTGATCTCCTTGCACTTATTGAATAGATGTAGTAATTAGTTCTTACACCAAGGTCTCTTACAGCACTAAAGCATAGGGTCATTCCTCATTTGTAAGTTGCTTTGGATAAAAGTGTCTGTTAAATGAGTAAATGTAACTGTAAGAGAGAAATAAAGGCTGGCTGTCTTCTTTTGATCTTGTAAGGCTGACTTGAATGTCCTTCATGCCGTGCAGCCCGTACAGCAGTTTGTCAACCGTACTGAGAGCTTGTATATTTTTTTAAACTGAACTCATTTGGAAAAATGATAGCCCATCGTCCTCTGCCCCATACCACCACTTCATTACAGACTGCACTTGCCCCTCTTACCTGCCCTGCAGGTTTCACTGTTGAATCATTTAAGCAGAATTTCAATAATGAATGACAAGAGAATATTATTTGTATAAATGAGATTTGTTTATGGTTTTATTGCAACCAATTATTCTTGTATATATTTGATCCCCTTCTTGTTTCTCAAAAATAGAGGAGGAGCAACCTTGGACAGATACAAAGGTGTAATTTGAATGTCTACGATCTGGAAAATAAAGCTACTTTACACTGCAATTTGTGGCAATGCTGAAGTGTATTGCATTATGCTCAGACATGTTTCTAATTTCCTCTTTTTCTTGCCACTAGGTGCTAACCTGCTACTAGTGCTCCCCTTCATCTAGCGCAATCATCAAGTCAGTTTGTCCAGGCACCATCATTGTACTTTGTGTTTGGTGCTAATTATGAATAGTTAACATGCAAAACTAATACGGTGACCATTACAGTGTGTCTGCTAAGCATCAGTATGTTAACATTGTCATTGTAAGCATGCTAACACATTAAATTAAGATGGTGAACATCAGCAAGTTTGTATTGTCATAGGGAGCATCTTAGCATGTTAACGTTAGTATTGGCTTATAGGGAGTGTGTTAGAATGCTGACATTAGCATTAGCTCAAAACATTGCCTAAATAGAGCCTCACAAAGGCAATAGCACGGCTGTCGACTCATATAGTATTGTTTATATATCACCAGAAAAGGGCACGTCTCTAAAAACAGGTTGAACAGGAAACTAATCATTATAACCTTCATTATGGTAGAATTAAATGCAGGGCTGTTGTATTAGACTTCAATCACATTTTAAAGATCATGTTTATAGCAAAGAAATAGCCAGAAGGCACCCTACAAATATCAGAACATTTTGAATCTATTTACTCTGACAGGACAGCACAAGTAACATTTTTACAAGTTCAGTTTATTTCCTCCTTCCGGGGCTTGTTCAAGTATCAAATTAGCAATGACCTGAAACAGTGAAAGGAAAAAATCTTTGCAGGCACTACACTTTTGGTTTGGAAACAAGCCCTCATCCAATTTTCAGCCGCTAGGATATGGAGGTTCATGCTGCAGGCAGGCAACTGCATGGCGCCACAATATATTTTGTGCACAAGTCATAAAAGCAAACATTGCAGCATTATTTGCATGGTGAAATAATGCCTTTCAGTGTACCTTTTTATGTTGGATCTGTAGTCTAATGGGCTTGCTGCCGTGAAAATGTGAATGTTCATTATATTATAAGCTGTTCCAGAGACCTATTGATGTTGTAATTTCTCGGCTAATAGAGGTTGATGAAAGTCATAAATTACTGAATGTCAGGTGTATGAGAGCTCTTTCAGACATACTGACAAGTGAAGTGTCAGACCTACTAATGTTTAGCTCAAAAGGAATGAATTGATTCCACGAAACCACATGCTGAAATTTCTCTATCTGTGTCTCATTCTCCAGGGTTTTCCCAGCCTCGGCCCCCAGAGCAGCAGAGCCCGTGCCTCTCCTGCTCCTCCTGTCTTGGACCACCAGCAGCAGAAGCTCAGTGTGGTGAGGCCGGGAACAATGGGTCGGAAACTGGACCTGTCGGGCCTGACGGATGACGAGGCGGACCACGTCTTGAAAGTGGTCCAGCGGGACATGAAGCTGCGAAAGAAGGAGGAGGAGAGGCTGAGGTGAGATGGGATTACCCTGCCAGCACTTTTTTCTTATACTTTCACACATTTGACACACATGGTGATTTGAGAGGAGATGATGACATTTGCCTGTGAGCAGAAATGACCAGATATAGTGGTGTACAGCTGGCTCAGCTGTCAGAGGCACCTACCATGTATTGCCAGTGTTGTTTAGGGTTCAAATAAATCTCCTGCATGAATATTTTATTACTTGAAGTGATCTAATAAAGCAAAATGATCTAATAAAGCAAAGACCTGTCAAGCTTTGGATTTCTCCACATGCCAAAACTGTGTGTATGGGGTTATAGGGCAGTGCGCACCTGAATGGCAGGCACACAGAAAAGGCTGGCAATTAGCCAGTGAATTTGTGACTCATGACTAAAAACATGTCTTGTTAGGTCACAGGGACCTTTGACCTTTGCCCACCAAATTTTAATCAGTTCATTTTCGAGTCCAAGTGAATGTTTGTGCCAGATGTAATGAAATTCCCTCTGGGTGTCCCTGATATATGGCATTCACAAGAACGCAAGGACACCGTGACCTTGGACTTTGACCTTTGACCTCGAAAATCTAGTCGGTTCATCTTTGTTTCCAATTGAATGTTTTGCCAAATCTGATCAAATTCCCTCAACGTGGTGTTGAGATATCTCATTCAAGAGGCCAAAAGTGAATTTTGTGAGGTAACTGTGACCTTGACCTTGGACCAACAAAATCTTATCAGATTGTCAATTATTTGCCTGTCCAAAATTTGAATAAATGCTCTCAAGGCGTTACTGAGATATCGCGTTCATGAGAATGAGACAGACGGACGGACAACCCAAAAACACAATTCCCCAGGCCCTGACTGTCGCTGGCGCTGAGGCATAACAAAACATCTGCAAGCATTAAAAAGTCAGCTGATGGAGTTTACAGAGCCAACTCACTGAATTTTAGAGTTAGAATTATCTGGCCAGTCATTCTAGCAACAAATCCAGCAATGATTATAATGACATCTCCATGGATTTGTAGTCAAGATTTCAGTGAGCCAAAACACTCCTGTCTGTAATAAGTTTATTTATACTATAGGCTCTGGTTGCCATTTATAATTCATAATATTCCATTTATTTATAAGAGCTTGGACTGGAATTCCGTTGTTGTGACATCTGATTGAAAGACGGAAGCATCTAAATTAAGCTGCTATGCAGGTTTGAACTGCAGTGAATTCATGGTTTATTACGACAGGCTCTGACGCTGTAAAGAGGAAGATGCTTGTCTTGTGTTTTCAGCTTGTGGGCTGTCAGGTCTGTAGGGTTCAGCTGGGCCAGGCCTCAGGGCTCTACTCCCGTGTCACAGCTTCTTACTTAACATGCGACAAGTGCTGGCTCATTCCTCCTCCTCACCTCCTGTCCTTCACTCCCTCCATCCCACCCTCCCTGCCCCTGTCACAGCCCACAGTTTGGCTGTGACAAGACAACGTGGGGGTTTGGCCATCAAAATTAGTGGTGATCAGCATCTCTGCCTTGTGTTGTTTGAGCAGGACATCAGGGGGAATTTTTTTGTATTAAAGCTCCAGTGTATCTAATGTCACAAAATCCAAAGTATGTTTTTAAGTGTGGTTGTACCCTATAATTTTGTAAACGCAAGTATGCTCCTCTGTGTACTTACCAGGCCCCCGCATCAGTTATTTTGTTGTGAAGTTTGATGTCTTTCTTCAGATTTGAACGGTGATCCTCAGTGGTTTTGTGTTCTTGAGTGGATGCCATGAGTGATTAGGCTGCTTTACTTCGAGCGCAAAACATCTTAGCTGTACTCTGAGGACCATAACAAAGTTGCTTCACGAAGCGGAAAGCAGCCATTGGTCTGTGATGCTTAAAAGTAGACTTATTTTCCCAGAATCAGTTTTCGAAACAAAGACGGTGTATTCCCAAATTACTGGGCTGTAAAATGTTCTCCCACCAAGCTGTCATGAATGATCAAAAAGAAATTTATGCCTCTCAGGCTGTTGTTACTGCTGTTTACCGCAGAAAGATGAGCAGATTAATGTTGATGTAATCACAACAGTTCTTCATAAAACCAATCATGTTCCTAATTTGCAGCCTTTTCAAGCTTTTATGTCTTATTAGATGCTTTAAAGGCAAAGTTTCCAAAGCAGCTATTAGATGATGCAAACTGAAGTGATGTGCAAGCTGATGTTTTATTTGATGTTCTTACTGTTACATTTCATTTGCTTGAGGAAATATGAGTTTCCTCAGCATCAGTGTTTGTCACACTTCTGCTTTCTCACTATTCTGCTTTTGCAATTTATTCAACGATAAAAGAAGTAATCTAATCCTTTTACTAAGTATATATAACAGACACTCAAGTACAAGTTCTGCCTCCTAAATTTTACTTGAGCAATAACTTTAAAAGTAAAAGACCCCAGTGAGAATATGACCAGTTAAATCAAGTGGGATTTGTGTGTAAAATTTTTATCTGCATCACTTGTGACTCTGGAAAATTATGATGGGCATTTTTTTTAAACTGTTTTCTGATATTTTACAGACCATAGGATTATAATTATTCGTAATAAGGAGAACATTTTGATTGGCACATTAATCAATAATGACGTTAGAAGTTGAGTTGAACTTTCCATCAGTTTTTTTTTCAGTATCACAAACTGAAATAACATTTTTGTAAGTATTCCTATAACCGCTTGGCAACCAGAATCAATACACTGTGTTTTAACTAATGACGCTTTCCTAGTGGAAGAGCAGTGTATGCCTGTTCCATCTCTGATGTTATAACCTCATTTAATTCCCTTGCATTCAAATGGATCACTGGACTAATAAGCTCAAGTGCATGAGATTCACTTGGAGATTTGAAGTAGTACCAAGTACTTGGTACTACTTAATATTCGTACTCCATTTCATCTTCAGAATAAGGACATGTCCTCGGTCAGTTTCAGGCTTCCTGTGAATTCTTTTCTCTTTTTTTTTTTTGCGTTATTCACATTTTTCTAATGTAGCTGATCAAAGGGAGAGTGTTTGTGTGACATTATGCAATGCAGCTCGTTAGGACAGCTCAGAAGAGAAGAAAATTGCTTACCTCTCAGCGTACACTGCTCAGCCACAACTGGTCACGTTACAGAAAGAAAAAGCGAAAAACCCATTTGCCTTTCATATGAAATGCAAAGTGCTTCACAGTTTACAGTATATGAATAGGAATATGAAGGATGTTTACAGCAGATGGTAGTGGAGCTTTTCAGCAGGTAGCGCTCTCCCTATGAGGTTTTCTCTTCTATGCATGGCTGACATTTGTTTTTCTTCCCTGATTGAAGTCAGCCCTGCAGAGTTGTAAATTAACCTGTTGAAGGATTCATGGGATAATTTATAAGCCTCAGCTGGCACTTTAAATGCTCCATTTTAATTTTACCCCATGCTGAATAATAATAAATATTGAAACACTTAACTGATATTACCTTCTGTCTCATAAATAATGCAATAAATATTTAAATAAAATGATGCACATAGCTATGAGCCTTGTTAAGGACAATCTGTTTTTTTTTTTTTTGTAGTTCACCTAAAGTTTTAATGAGGGCAACTGCAGCTTGTTTATGATGTTGCTACACTTTAATGCTTCTATCACTGTGTGAGGGACATTTTATCGCTATGCTGTATATTATTATTATTATTATTATTATCATTATCATTATCATTATCATTATCATTATTATTATTATTATTATTATTATTATTATTATTATATAAACTGTACAACAAATAAAAAAATTTAGCATGACATTTGAAAGATCAATATTCCTCCATGAGAACATGCATTAACGGGGCAATACAGGTTTAAAGGCTTTAGTGGTGTTTGAATTTTCTTTTAGAGATTTGGATTTTGCATGATTAGGCTGGTACAGTATTATATAGTGTTTGGACAGTTGGCTGGCCTGTCTGGAGCTGTTTCTAATTGGTCTGATCTGATGTATCAGACGGTCCTCTTTGGCCACTAGCGATGAGCTACCTGATTTTGCTGCTCATCTTCCATGTTCCCACTGGGTCTTTTAATTTGACATTTAGTCTACTTTTTTACTTTTATGCTGATAACACACCGCTGTACTCTACTAGGTTTTCTGTTAAACCTAAATGATTCCTCTGTTCTATGGGAGACCAGAAGTTATACACTTTTTTAATTAAATGATGAAAAGCCTTTATTATTGGCCATAAAGCAATTAAAAGACACTGCAGCAGGGATCCTTAGCCTATAACTTCAAATGTTAATATAAGAATATAATTGATATATTTGGTTCTTGTCTCAGTTTTCCTCATATTAAAATGCCTTGCATATCGTTGATGCACCAACAGAGGTGTTTTCACATACGTTCCTCGAATAACCCTCCTCTTAGGTGTGGGTGTGTAAAGGCTGAGCTCGACTTTCACCTTTTGAGGGCTGCTAGCAAGCAAACATGTATGTAATCAATGTAGATTTGTATGTTTCCTATTAAAATAAAAAATATAATAAAAAAAAATAACAAAAAACTAGGAAAATAAATCTGCACTGAAAATGTTTTATGATGCATTTAACACTTTTATTAGGCGTCAAAAATACACAGAATCAATTTTGCTAAAAAACGATGACAGTAAACATGCACTTGTTTACAAAAAAAAAGGAAAAAAGTACATTTCTTCATTGTTATGTCCATGTTCACACTCGGTGCATCTCATCTTTGGATGTCTCAAAAGTTTGGCTTAAAAAAGAATGAAACTGTGCATGAGCTCTCTTTTCCCCTGAAGTTGGAACAGCACCTTTTTTCACTTGTAGTTCATCAGATTTTACAGACTGAAGTGTTGGCTCTGTTCGTTATGTTTTGTCTTGATCAGTTCTCCTTTGTTGTTTTCATTCGTCCCTGTTATTATCCTGCATGTTTGATGTTTTCTCCTAATGGCTTTAACTGTGAAGCACTTTTTGGAATATAAAAATCAATCTTTAGGAACTTTAGTAACTCTTTGCACCCGTGTTTGCTCTGCAACTGAAGGGTG